AGCAGGAGGAGAGAAAGGAAGATTTGTATTATTTACATCCACTTCTAGAAAGGGGTGGGAGGGGTTTATTTTTGGGTTTTATTATTGTTATTGTTATTAATTTGTTGTGATGCAGCCCATAAAAATCCTCTTCCTCGCAGGCAGCAGAACCCCAGGGTGACATTGGTCGGGTGGGAATGGGAGGGGACATCCAGGGGTGGCAATGGGACACTCAGGTGTGGGAATGGGACACTCAGGTGTGGGAATGGGACATCCAGGGGTGACAATGGGACATCCAGGGGTGACAATGGGACATCCAGGGGTGACAATGGGACACTCAGGTGTGGGAATGGGACACTCAGGGGTGACAGTGGGACACTCAGGGTTGGCAGTGGGACACCCAGGAGTGACAATGGGACATCCAGGGATGGGAAGGGGACACTCAGGGGTGGGAATGGGACACTGAGGGGTGACAATGGGACATCCAGGGGTGGCAATGGGACACTGAGGGATGGCAGTGGGACACCCAGGGGTGACAATGGGACATCCAGGGGTGACAATGGGACACTGAGGGGTGGCAGTGGGACATCCAGGAATGGGAATGGGACATCCAGGGATGGGAATGGGACACCCAGGGGTGACAATAGGACACCCAGGGGTGACAATGGGACACCCAGGGATGGCGGTGGGACCTGTCCATCAGTGGCAGCCACAGGATTTCACCACCATGTTCCGATGTTTCTTGAGGATGACGTTGTTGTTGCTGTCGTAGTAGAGGACAGAGGTGGCGCTGAGCTTGGTGGGGGCACAGCACGCCTTGGGCACGGCCTCAGGCTTCATCAGGTGGACCTGGGGGGATGGATGGAGCCCGTCAGCCCCAGCAAACGTGGCTCCAGGCAACAGAAAAAGCGTCAAACTGACCTAAAAACCCTGGGTGAATGGGGGGATTATTTCCATCTTTCTGCAAAAATATTTATTCTAAACTGCAGGCAGTCCCTGCTGCGGTTTATGTTGGATCAGGGCTCACGGCACTGCGTGGGCCAGGCAGCCCCTTCATTAATTTGGGATTTCAGGGCCCTTTTTCTCACAAAAATAGACAAATGACTAAAAAAACCCCCATAAATCAGCACAGCACGGGTCAGGCTCCAGCGCTGGGTGTCGTTCCAACAGAGATTCTCCACCCCAAACCTAAAACCCGAACAGCACAGCACCTCTGTGAGCACGGCTGTCGCTTCTGGATGGTTCTCCCCTGCTCTGGGCTCTCCTCAATCTGGTGTTTTCCCGCAGGGCAGCAGCCGGAGGCGCGCTGGAAGGACGCTGGCTGCCCCGACATGTGCGATTAATTTATGGCAGGGCCAGCCGAGCTCTCCCAGCTCGGAAGTCCGGTGTTTTTGCTGTCCAACCCTGCTATTTGCAGCTCAGCCTGGGGCTGGCACGGCTCCGTGGCCGCCTTTGCCCTGGCGCTTCCCAGAAGGATCCAGGTGATTCACATCCTGCTCCGTTTTGGGAGCAGCGCTGGGTTTAGGGGTGATGGGGGGTGTAAAGGGGGGGAAAGGCCCCTCCCTGCTGCTTCCAGGATGGTTCTCAACCCTCAGATGGGCTCTGGAAGCTTCGTTATGTCAAAATTAAACCTCGCCAGGCGACACCTTCAAAGGCTGGGCCGAGGGCTCGGCGCTCCCTGTAATTAACCGCGAGCACCGGAGCCGGGCTGGCTCTGCCATTGGGAAACCAAACACTCACAGGGCAGGAAATTCCAGAAATTAAAACGCTGGCTGGGATGTGGGGTGGGTTTGGGAAAAAGAAAAAACAAAAACAACAAAAAAACCCGAGGCATTAAAGCTTTCTTGCACTCGGAATATGCTGAGCCCAAGGTTTGGATGTGGATAAAGCCTTGGGAACAGCTGGAGAGGAGATGCAGGGATGAGAAGGAGAATTTTTGGGAAGAGCAGGGGGGCTCTGGTGTGCCCTGGGCTTGTCCCTGCCTCCCCAGCTCGCTGCCAGGGGATGACATTAAGCTGTCAGAGACCGTCAGTTTTGCCCCAGCTGCTGTGGAACTGTGTCAGTCAGAAGATGGAGAGGTGAGGGAGCTCTGGAATGACAAAATCCCACTCTTGCACCATCCTGCTTGAGGAGGAGGGACGGGGATTTGTGCCCTCACTCTGGGTCTCTCCATGAATGCCCTGAAATTCCATATTGGAGCCTGCTGTGAGCCTGGGGCAGGGCCAGTCTGTGAGCAGCCATCCAGATGTGTGAGCACCCAGCCAGCTGTGCATGCACTGACCCAGCTGTGCATAGACCCAGCTGTGCATGCACCCATCCAGCTGTGCATGCACCCATCCAGCTGTGCATGCACCAACCAGCTGTGCATAGACCCAGCCAGATGTGCATGGACCCACCCAGCTGTGCATGGACCCATCCAGCTGTTCGTGCACTCATCCAGCTGTGCGTGCACCCAGCTGTGCATGGACCCACCCAGCTGTGCATGGACCCACCCAGATGTGCATGGACCCATCCAGCTGTACATAGACCCAGCCAGCTGTGCATGCACCCAGCTGTGCATGGACCCATCCAGCTGTGCATGGACCCACCCAGCTGTGCATGGACCCATCCAGCTGTGCACAGACTTGTCCAGCTGTGCATGCACCCATCCAGCTGTGAATGGACCCACCCAGCTGTGCATGCATCCTCTCAGCTGTGCATGGACCCAGCTGTGCATGCACCCAT